AGTATAATTAATAATTTATATAAGTACAGTACATGTTAGAATTAAGTAGCTTGTATGGACCAACAAGATAACTCAGGGGTCTAAATCGCCTGCTTAGGCAAGCTTAAGCAAGTGCAGGGACCACCCAGCACCACATGTGGAGCCAGCTGTACCCCCAGGGCAGGCTGAGCCAGCCACAAAAAAAAAAAAAAAGAATTAAATGGTTTCTATTTTTGTCAATTCGTTTGTGATTAAAGAAAAAGATAGAAAGAGCAAGACATTTCACGTATATATTCTCGTTGACAGCTTGAAAGCACAAGTGAAAATGTCGAACCTTACCATCAACTGAAAAACACTGTGACTGTGGACAGCAGTGTGGGCAACGACACTACTTTCCTAGTCACATGGCAGATCAGTGGTCCTCCTGAGATTGTGCTGTCGGATCCTACCGGAAGAAAATACTACACAAATAATTTTATCACCAGCCTAGCCTCTCAGACATCTAGGCTTTACATTGCAGGAACCGCCAAGGTAGGTGTTATGAGCTTGTTTATTGTCACAGCATTGGGCCAAGTACATAACTTTCAATTGAACACAATTAAATGCATGGCAGAAAGGAAATTTTGTTTTACATCTGAAAGCTTTGAATTGATGAAAACGTTGTGAATGCTAAAAGTTTAAGGGAGGGATACACTCTATGCAAAACTTTAAATATTGATTGGAAAAAGCTTCTTGTGTCAAAAATAAAATTAATATTTTCAGTAGTTCTACAAGTAAACCTCTGTAGCTTACATTTTTCTTTACATAATCCATACATACATTTCTACATCCTTAGGAAAAATACTGTATCTAGAAGTTATAGGACAAGCTACATAATACACGTGCTTTTTGAGTACGTTTTTAAAATGTGGAGGTTCCTGTCAGATGATGCTACTAATGTTAAGACTCCAAAACAAGAGTAGGCAGACAGATGATCGCAACGCTTGAATCAGACTTCACTGGAACATGAAGAAGCCTGGAAATCCCTCTGCGGGAGGCTGAGCTGGGGGTGCTAGCATGTGAACCCTTGTCCTGACTCTCATCTTGACACCTCACTTTCCTCTTGGTTCTCACTGTTCCTGCTGGAATTTAGTGAAGAGTAGAGCAGGAATCAGGAAAAAGCAAGCTCTGTAGAGCTTAGTTACATGTAGGACATATTTTTATGCATCGAAATCTCAGCCCTCCTTTTTCCACATGACTTTTATAGATTTCTTCCAGATATTCTAGGGGGGCAAGAGAGTGGCATGTAGAGTATTTTCTTTGGTTTTTTGTGTGCGTGGCCGGTTCAGTCCACCCGGGGGTGGGGCTGGCATGGTATGTGGTGCCGGGGATTGAACCACTGTCCCTGCGCACTTGCCTAAGCAGGCGTTTTAGACCGCTGAGCTATCTCATCGGCCTCTATTTTTTTTTTCTTTAGTAAAAGATGATTTATTTGAAGGTGAGGGAGAGAGGGAAGAGAGAGAGGTCAGACAGCTACTCTGAATGAATAAGGAGTATTCGAATATTAAATACTCCTGCATTTCTTGTCTGCGGCTCCTCTCACTGAGATCAGTATTTGTGTAAATTACTCCATATAGACATCTACAACCCCAACCTACCAAAAATAGTAGATCTTTTCTTGATCCTTAACAATTTGTTGTTTTGGATGTTTGAGACTTCCTGGATTGAGGTTTGGGAGGAGTGGAGAGAAAAGCATGTTATTGTCCCCAGTCCTGCATATCTACATATATTATAGCAATATATTTAATTTGCTATAATTTTCTCAGTTCTAAAAAGGAATAAAATCATTTATCCTCTTCAGATAAAAGGGGAGTTGAGATTAGTATTTGCAAAAAACTTTGATCTGGGTGCTGTTATCGTTATGTGTTAAAAATATAAATCAAGATGTACCCTCCCTCCTTAGAATAAACCCTTGCTGTAATTCTCTGAAGTTACTTAACAGTAGTAGAGGTTCACTAGCCATCCTTTAATCAATATTACTTTTCTTGACATTCTTTTTAGTATTCTGAAAAATACATCAACAAAACAACACCAAGGTCTTAGATACATGCTTTAAAATTAGATGTTAGCTTTTGGCTTCTCTCTTTACAAAACAAGAAGTGTTTGTTTTTCAGCCTGGGCACTGGGCTTGCTCCCTGAACAACACCCACCATTCTCCTCAAGTCCTGACAGTGACAGTGGCCTCCCGCGCCTCCAGCTCCACTGTGCCCCCGGTCACTGTGGAAGTCTTTGTGGAAAAAGACAGCATCCATTTTCCTGATCCTGTGACTATTTATGCAAATGTGAAAAAGGGGCTATATCCCATTCTTAATGCCACTGTCACTGCTGTAATCGAGCCAGAGACTGGAGATCCTATTATGCTGAAACTTTTGGATGACGGAGCAGGTAACAAGAAAGCAATGGCGTTTTTACGTGTTCTTAAGAGCTCTGATGTCATGATGAGGCTGCATCAATGTTAAGCTTATCTGCAACATTCTTTCAGTTCTTTTTTTTTAATTCAATCATATCATGCTCTCAAGTTCTCGTGGAATTACTGATATGCTGAGTAGGTACAAGCTAACCTGGGGAAAGACAGTACCACTGAGGCTCCTCAGAGAGGCTGTGCCAGAGCAAAAGTGTAGGAGGAAGCTACATGACACCTAGGTCTTGGCTTACACATGGCCAGTGAAACTGGCCACTGTCACTTCATGATGTCACACAGAAACACATTTATGTGTCCTTTTGACATGCCCATTATCTTTAGAGTAACCGGCTTTATTCACTGCAACAATCAGACTTGACAACTACAAAAAGCAAATGAAAACCAAGAAGGGAAGCAATGATAGTTAACCCATAATTCCCCTTTGGACCCAGTTATGGAAAATTAAGAGGGAAATTGAACTTGTGCCTTGTGAGATGACCCAGGATAAGTGGTGGCAAACCTGTGGCACAGGTGTTTTTCTTTTAAGAGAAAACCTGTGAATGTATGAGTTGTTTTTTCTTCTAAACTAAAACCACGGTATTCAGGTTTAATTGCAGTGTTGGCACTTTGTGTGAATAAGTGGGGTTTAGGTTGCAGCTTGGCCCTTGGACTGAAAGGTTCACCATCACTGCCCTAGATTATTCTTTGGCCAAGTAGCCAGGTTGATGAGAGGACATAGCCCATCTCTAGCCCACAGCTTTTCATGGGTGTGACTTGGCCCCAAAGAGACCGGATCAGCAAGCTAGTGGAATCTGTAGGGAGAGTTCCCCACGAACCAGAAAATGAGGCAAATCAAGCAAAGTGCTACCACACTCTCATTCTGCACAGTAGCATTCAAAGCCCCTCTGATATGCAATATGGAGAGCAAGGTATCACGCTAGGTAGCAGTGGCTATTGCATTCCTAATTATCATGTTTTGACTTTCAAAAACAAACTCATCAGTCATTTCACTTTTCCAGTTTCCTGTTCTGTTCTTTTCCAAAGCTAAATTCTCAGAATGATAATGATCCTTAAAGTCTGCACTGGCATCCTCAAATTACAAATCTTTGCTCTGTTATTTCAAAGTTAGTTTTTTTAAAAAGCAAGTCTTGGGTTTGGCAGTCTACCATGGCAATAATGTATGACATTTATGAACGCAAGTCTATTCAGAGGACTTCAGCTCGACACCACAGAAGGATACCAGAGAAGTCTTGTTTGCCCATTGACATGAGTCCAAATGGACTCTCATGTTCTGATTGCTTATGCATGACCCTATCTTTCTTTTTTTATGCAGTCCAAAAATGCACTTAGCAAAATGTTTCTCCCTTGCCTCAGCCTGTGAGCTGGCTGGAAGAACAAATCATGCTCTGAGGGAAAATCAACTACTTGAACTCAATAGGCTCTTATATTTATTCCCTGGAAGTATTCATTTGTTTGCTATCTAAATTTATAGTATAGTAAAAGAAACAAAGAAAGAAAATATTTCTTAGTTACCAAAGTGTAAATTTAGTTTCTCCTTTTAACACTTAACACGTGTGTACATAGTGGAAGCAGTATTTATCTGCTAAGAAAAATTAACAATAATAAAATGTATGTTGGGCCTGTCATGCTGGCCCTGCCCCCAGGGCACACTGAGACTGCAATTGAGACTGGGCATGGTGGCGTGCCTGTAATCCCAGCTCTTGGGAGGCTGTAAACAGGCGGATCACTATGAGTCTGGTCTAGTAGTGAGACCCTGAACATACTGTAGACTCTTCCCTAAAACACAAATTAATTAGTTAATTAAATGTATGCACATAAGATGTTTTATGATTTACTTTCTCATGCACAATCTCAGTCACCAAAACAACCCAAAGTGGTATGTTTTCCTCATTTTAGGGATGATACAACTGAGGCTCAGACAGTTAACTTCAAGGCTACTAAGTTGCAAATTTGGACCCTGAACCTAGGGTTTCTAACTACCAAGCCAGTGTTGCTTCCTCCTTTCTTCTTGCCTCAGTGATTAAAAGAGGTGGCAGTGATGGCTTTGATATAGAGAGTTTTTCCTTTGCACAAAGACAGCCTGACCAATTAGTCATTAAGTCGCCAAATGCTAAAACTTGATCTCTTTCCAATAGACATACATTTTCTAAATCTACCATGATGGGATGAATGGCATTTTTTAAAAAATAAATTCTATTTTCCTTGTGTTAAGGAGCTTGCTCCTGTGATGAGGATAAGGGATTTTGGTATGTTTTGAAAATAATGATACAGGGCTGGGTGTGCAGAGTGAAAATTGATTTGGCCTCTGGGATGGGACAAGTCACTTCCCCAGAGCAGCCACCTACCCTTGAAGAGTAGATGTTGCCTGCACTTGGGCTAAGCTGGAGGTTCCAGCCACCTTGAGGTCTAGGTCTTCCTGTCACTTGGTCATGGATTTGGCTTCAAATTGAACTCTCTGCGGATCAATCCAAAAAGCAGAACACTTGCCAAAGCTGAAGGAGTCCAAGCAAACCCTGCCCAACTCTGAGGCTCCCAGCCCCTTAGAATTGAGGATAGTTCCATGTTCTCTCTAATGAGGAAATTAATTCCATACTATTTTATTTACTAGTGAATTTCTTTTGGCAGAAGCTTTTCACCAAATAGATTCAGGACATGCCTAAGCCCTTGAAGTCGTATGAAAATGTGAACATATGCAAATATACTTCTATCTCAAGGATAAAGATTTACTTTAAAAAGTCCATGACCATAAATAAGCTTAAAAATGGGCTTGGTTTCTTTGAAAAATTAGTGCTGTTTTCAGAGAAAGGAATGAGAGATTTAAAGATGATTTTAAGTGTTGTATTAGGTCACATTCACCCTTAGAGAATAATTATTCAGAAGTTAAAGAATCACAGGAGGAAATTATGGAGCTATTGTATTTTAAATCACTAGTTACACTCATGGTAACATCTACTGAAATGGAAAGAACAAGGGATGGATGAATGTTATTTTAATAGCTTTTAAAATGTTAGTAATTAACTATGATAACAAGTGTTGACACTGATTTTTTTGTCTGCATACACAGGTGCCGATGTTATTAAAAATGATGGAATTTACTCGAGATATTTTTTCTCCTTTGCTGTAAATGGTAGATATAGCTTGAAAGTGCATGTCAGTCGCTCTCCCAGCGTAAGCACCCTAGTCCACCCTCTCGCAGGAAGTCATGCTATGTATGTACCAGGTTACATAGCAAATGGTAAGAATCACCGGCATTGTTAACTTGTGGTGTCGTTTCATGTACCTATCTCTGGGGTGTGTCTGTGGGTGTGGGTGTGGGTGTGGGTGTGGGTATGTGTGTACTGGGTAGGGAGAGAGAGAGGAGAGAGAGAGAGAGAGAGAGAGAGAGAGAGAGAGAGAGAGAGAGAGAATGAATATAAAGGTGTGAAAGGGATAGAATTCCAAAACTGTACATAAAATCCATAATTCACTGACCACTTTGTCATACCACACTTTTAACAAAAAATAGTTAATTGCTTTAGATAACTCTTGCCATCATTTTAGTAATTATTTTGACCTCTTTCTTGTGACTGTTTCAACAGAATTACTACTGGATATATTATTGACATTTCTAAGGTCCAACTTCTATATTTCCTCTATAGAGCTTTAGATAAAAGAAAGAAGCAAAACTTTGCCAGCAGTTGAAAGAAGAAAGCAAAAGGCTCAAATAATCAGCACAGGAAGTGAGTTTCTGAATCAATATGGGCTTGGATATCAGACTACTGTGTGATCCCTGAGGAGGTTCTGCTCTCCTTCAAGATGAAAAGTGCCAGATAAATAGAAGATCTAGGCCTTGAATTTTTAAACACTGTTATTTTAGTTTCTCATAGAGAAGAGTAGTTACAAAATCACAGACAGATGTATCAGATGTAGTATCTCTAAAAAGTCTCAAAAACCATTTATAAGCATTTTAATGATATTATTATGTATTTTAGCAGTTACAACCAATTGTCTAGACTATTCCATGACATGATTCTATATTTTTGTGTTATATTTGTACTTCTGTCTAGAAGCTACAGTTGATTGGCATTGTCTTGCTGTTTTTTTTGTGTTTACTAGTGGACAATTCACTATCACTTACATTTATACTAATTTAGAGAGCTTAAAAATCAATGTAAATCAATTTTCAAGGTAGCATGGCTTTATTGCACAGATATATTATGTCTAGATAAAATACTTTATTTCTATGTAGATAGCTCTTTTATCTATGAATAACACTTTGAAGGCCTACTAGGTGACAAGTAGGGAGAGAGAGAACTTGGCATGCAAGGCTATCAAGGTGATGACTTTGAGCAGACACATAACTAAAAAATAGGAGCTGCTCTATTTTCACATGGCCAAACCTCCAGACAGAGCACTCCAGGCAAAGCAGCATCTGTATCTTCTCCTCCTCCCCCCAGGCCACTGTCTTGCTGGATGCACTTTGAATCCCAGAGAAAATGTGAGAGCTCTCCTTACACATTCCATCTCTACTGTCCTCTCTGAGCAGCATCTAAGCATGTTCCCATATTAAAAGTTGGTCACCCTCCAGCTCCCACCTCTCTATTTCTATCATAGCCTCCTTGAAACCAGCCAAAACAATTGTACGTTTTCACCTCCTGTTTGCTATTCCATTCCTTGTAATCTGACTTCCACCAAAATCGTTCCATTTGAATTTCTCTGGCCCTAATTGCCAATGGCCACCCTACTGTGAAATCCAAAGAAAACATCCCAGTCTTCATTTTTCCAGACCTCAGCAGTAGTTCCTGGTTTCTATGACACTGTAGTCTCCTGGGTATCTCTTATGCTCTGGAAGTTTTTTGGGCGGGGTCCTTTTCCCCCCATTTAAGTATTTTGCACAGGGTCTCACTATGCAGCTCGGATTTGTAGTGATTGTCTTGTTTTCAGCCTCCCCAGGGCTGGGATTACAGCCCAGACTCAGTCACCAGTTCAGAGCTCCTGGGGGACGGGGTCAGTGCAGCATTGAAATGTTTTGTCAGCCTCTTTTTCCAGTTCCTTTTTTTCTACCAGGCCTCTAAATATTAGCAATTCTCAGAGCTCAGTCCTAGCCTTCTCATTCTCCTGGCTCATGCCAAACTACTTGAGGTTGAGTTATGTCACTTTGATCAGGCTGCTTACCTTCTGTGTCTCAGTTTCATCATCTATAAAAATGGAAATAGTAACTATACCTTACTCAGAGCTTTGCTGAGAAAATTGAAATACTTGATATACATAAGGTTCTTTACAAAGTGTCTGGCACATAATCATTCAATGAATGCTATTTATTATTGTAATTTAAGATACTATTGGGTAATCTCATTAACCTACATGGCTTTAATATCTATATGATTATAACTTACATATTCAAATGCATCATCAACTATTGCAGCCTTTTTCTTCAGAATGCAGCTTACCACCTTTTACTGCTACCACCTATCCCAAACTGCTTTCTTCTCCCATCTGGACAATGGGGTGGCTCCCTAAGATGCCCCCTTGCTTCTTGAAGTCCTCCAAGAACATCTCTGTCCTATCTCATCTCAAACTAGTCTTCCCCTTTCCTTTCTCTACTTGTTCTCTCCCCTCCCCTTCTGGGCTCCATTCCTCCAAAATTCCTTTCTTCCCCTCCTCCTTCCTTGCTGTGTTCTTGCCTTCTTGCACTCTTGTTTTGTGTATATGTGTGTGTGTGTGTGTGTGTGTGTGTGCGCACATGTGCGCATGCACACACGTGTGCCTGTGTGTGTATGTGTATATACTAGGGATGAACTCTAAGGCCTGAGGCACGGTAGGCACTCTGAACACAAATCAGACACACAATCTTAACTAGACCTTTTGCGAATAGGGATAGGATCAAGAAGGGGGGGCATAAAAATAATTAAGATGTGTCTCCCATAAAGGATTTAACCATTATGTGTTACAAATGTTCCAATGAAAATAAGATCAAACAAATCAGCAAAAACTCTTCTGCACATTAGGGTTTTCACACAAATTGTCCCCATTGCCTGGGATATTCTTCCCTCCCCTGTTAACTTTGAATTCTCAACCTTTAGGAAACCAGGAAATGTGACTTCCTTGATATCATTCTAAATTTTTTATTTGAACTATTTTCTTTTATAATACCACAATCTGTCAAAGTATATTACCAATACAATCAATACCAAATTCCAGGAAGAACTGTCTTGTTTCATGTGTAATTACTGGCATAGAATATCCATTTCATAAGTACTTAGAGAATGAATGAATGAATGATTTACTGAATAAACTTAAGTTTTCTAAATAGACATTTTTTGAAAACGTTTTCAAGAGAATCTGAATCATCTCTCAGGAGCAAGCTATTAGGGAGATTTGTAATTTGTTGTTGGTCTATGGTTTTCTTTTGGCTTCAGGTAACATTCAGATGAATGCTCCAAGAAAATCAGCACATAGAAGTGAGGAAGAGCAAAAGTGGGGCTTTAGCAGAGTAAGCTCAGGGGGCTCCTTTTCAGTACGAGGAGTTCCAGATGGCTCCCGTCCTGACGCCTTCCCACCGTGCAAAATTATTGACCTGGAAGCTGTAAAAGTGGAAGAGGAGGTGACTCTATCTTGGACAGCTCCTGGAGAAGACTTTGATCAGGGTCAGGGTAGGTTTTCTGGCTTCATGATCTATTTTCCACAAGACAGTATTTCTAAAAACATCAGGAGTTAGTGAAAAGAGCTATGGGACTTAAAGCTGAGAAAGCTGCAGAGGGCTGTCATAAAAAGCTCTGAGTTGTCCCTACTGCTTTAAATCCCAGAAACAAGAGGCTACTGCAGGAGTACAGAGGTAGGGCAGGCTTTTGGCAATCACACAATCCTTGATTGGAGACATGCAGTTCACGCAGTTCTGTGATTTAGTCAGCAAAAACAAAGGCTGTTAGTATATAGTCTATGTATCTAAATATTTAAAGCAACTAATTTACTGAAAACTCACATGCAAATATTCATATATTTTCAAGTCAAATGTGAAGAAATATTTCCCCGCTAAGACGAACCTTTGTGCACTCTCTGCTCTGGCTCTAGCCATGATTATGTGATAAAGCTTGAGAGAAGTTGGCCAATCCCGGACTTTCTTGCCCTCTCTTGGGTGGACATCGATGGGAATCTACTCTTACTTTCCTTTCTCTAAGGCCTGTGCTGACTTTTGCTACACCATTATTTTCCAGATTTTTACCCAACTGTTACTCTGTCTTTTATCAAGAAATTTTTATTTCCTCTTATTAATTTGAATTCTGCTTCTATTTTATACCAAATTCCTGAATGTGGCCTAATTCTTAATGTATAAGTCCATCATATAGTAGTCCATGGTATTTTAATTATTGAGGCATTATGCTATTTTTATATCTGGTAGGATTCATTTCTTTTTATTGCTATATTTTAGACTATCTGGCTATTTTTATTATTTATTGTCCATATAAACTTTACAAAAGGCCTCACTACTGAAAGCAAGAACTGAAGGCATTTTAATAAATAGCACATGAAATCTGCATAATAATAATATAAACATTATTATGTTGTATCTTACTTTCAAATAACATAAGTCCTCTTGCTTAGCTTTTAGTATGACTCTTTATGTAGTATTTTAAGGGTTGACTCTTATTTAGTTTTTTTCTTGTTATGTTTATTGCTAGGCATCATAGCTCTTTTGCTGCTCTTCTCCTTAGTCATTACTAATAAACTAGAAAACTTACTTAAGGTGACTTAACCTTCCCATTTATGTTTTTAATTTCAGCTACAAGTTATGAAATAAGAGTAAGTAAAAGCCTACAGAGTATTCGAGATGACTTTAACAATGCCATTTTGGTGAATACATCAAAGCTCAATCCTCAGCAGGCTGGCACCAGAGAGATATTTACATTCTTACCCAGATCTTTTACAAATGAACCTGAATATCAACCTGAAAGTGAAGCACAAGAAAACCACAGGATGTATGTGGCCATCAGAGCAATAGATAGGAACTCTCTGAAGTCTGCTGTGTCTAACATTGCTCAGGTATCTTTGTCTAGTCCTCTGAGCTCTGCTTCTGCATCTGGCAGAGATCATCTTATACTGAAAGGAGTCTTAACAGCAATGACTTTGATAGGAATCATTTGCTTTGTTATAGTTGTAATACATTACACTTTAAACAAGAAAAAAGGTGGTCAAGAAAAAGAATGGGACGAAATTACTATGAACACATGCACAGAGTACCTCCCCTCTTAGTTTTAAGAGCCATGGCCCTCACACTTTGCAAAACATAGCAATAAACTGAAATGAACATCAAATTGTGTGAAAGTGTATTTGATTTTTGTACAATATGGGTCATAGTTTTATATATGATACATATTATTGGAGGAGAAATTACAAGACAGACTTAGATACAGAAAAATAATAATAAATGTTCTTCTTCAAAGTGGTGTCTTTAAAGGCAAAGTCAAGGGCCAAGTGGAATCAGAATCAAGAAAAGCTTGTTTTATTGGAGTGGAAAAATAGTTCCAGGAAGAGGAAAGAGGGTTAGATTCTGAACTATGCAGTATAACTGTCTGTATGAAGCAATTGTTTAGTTACTTTGATTAATTTTTCATTTGTCCTTATCTGTGGAGAACAGGTTGCTTGTTTATGACAAATGATCAGGCTGCATTTTTTATGTGAAGCCCTGACTGTAAAATTCTTTATCACTTGTCATTTGGTTAAATGTACTATGGATCAAATCCCACCACTAATGCTCAAAGAGACCTTTTATAAGAGCAAGAGGCAACCTTAAAATGAGGTTATTATCCTTGTCCCTTCATACTAGTTGTATAACAGAGGTTTATTGAATTTATTGTTTATATGTTTCTACTCCTATTGAAACAGTTTTCCAAGTTATTGCCCTGGGGATAATGGAATGAAAATGGCTCTCAGTCTCATAAGGCTTTAAGAATGAAAGACTAGGTTCTAAACTTATTTTAATAAGGATGTGAACAATATAGTTTTATTCAATTTCTACCAAAGAAGAGGTCAGAGGGAGAGACTGATCTTTAGAAATGACTATCATACTCTTTTCCTTGATTAAATAAAAGTCTAAAATCCCTTTTCCATTGAGGCAAGAGAAAGGGGAAGTACATATCATAAGGAAATAAAAATCATTTTTATCTAATTTTAGTTGCTTGTATTTTATTAAAGATTGTGGAACAATAGACTCATTTGGTTTGTAAATTATAGAGCTTAAAACTTTATTAAACAAGTTTAAATAATAATGTAGAATAGATCTCAGTTTTATAATCACTACCTGTTGAAAATGAAAATTAGGTGATCTTTAGGATGGTAAGAAAGGAAACACAGTGACCTGAGACAAAAGGAAAGAAAAAGCTTGAATTCCTGAGTAGAGAGACTGAGTACAACCTGTGGAGAAAAACAAACCGCGAAGTTGTTTGCCTAGCCTGATTCCTTATAAATATGTGGAGGACCACCTGAGCAGCTCTCCTTGAAAGAAGAGCAACTGTCTCCATTTTGACTGAGCCTGACACTATTTCCCCATATTGTTCTGTACACAGCTGGCTAGGACTTCTGTTTATCCTTCATTTGGCTTTAAGCAATGTATATTGGTCTAGCTGAGGTGCTGGTGATAGTCTTTGAAGGTGGCGTGCATGTTTCCCTGGTAAACCTGCTGCTCTTTAATGTGAGCCAGATCAAGACAGGATGGTAGAGCTAATGCTCTGTGCCACCAGCAGGGATCGAGCCTGAGATAGAGGCTATGACTTCCTGGGGCTTGAAAGACTACATCCAAGCTGAAGCACCAGACTTACCAAAACATTAAATACTATATAATGCAGATTACTCTCTCTGCATATCCTCTCTGACTATTGCAGAGGTAAATTTAGGCCACTCATCTAGTTCAGCTCATAGTAGTCACCTACTTCCCACAATTCTCAGTCAATCCTCCTCAAGCCATTCCTCCACCGAATAAAACCGGGTGAGGCCCTGGATTACTCTCTTGATTCCAGAAAGCCACCTTCGTGGCTGGACTTAGGGCCCCTTGACTCCCCAATAATTATAAATATGTTTTGGTGTCTTTACTTTCACTGTGGGTTGCACTGGGAGCGGTAGACTGGAATCAACTTGATGGGATTCCAATAACATAACTTTGGGATTACAAATATTGGCTTCTTGTACCAAGACAAGGCCCTGGCAGTGACTCCTACATAGATATACTACATCCATGTCTGGCCTGTAACATGCTGGTCTTGCAGTGCCTAAATCTTGGCACATGGAACATTCGAAATCCATGCCACCCAATTTCTAGCTTGCCAGTCGGTCCCTTCTCCCATATGGCCACTGACCCCTGCTAGCCTCAGATGTGTTTTTCTGGGGTTGCAAACATGGCTGGTGAAACATAAAGTGGTCAGTTTAAGTCCTGAAATATTTTCCTCATTTTACAGATAGGAAGATGAAAAGTTAAGTGAATAATTCAAAGTTTTGTGTTGATGAATGGCAGAGCTATATAGAAGAAGAGCCAGGTTCTGGGGTGACTCCTTTACACGGACTACTTAAGAAAAAATGGAAAGATGGTGGAGATTGGACCCAAGATCACACAGTGGGAGAGCAAATCTAGCTCCAAAGGAATATGGCTTCTTTTTGTGGGTATTTTCTCTTTAGTTCTTTTTCCATCGAGTGGATGCAGGAATAGAAAAGATGGACTAAAGTCTAGAAATTGGTGAAATGTAAGAAGAGACAAAACTGAGGGGTAACAAAGACATAAAAAGTGTCCAAACATAACACAGTAGAGTGATCTTGTGAAGGTGGTATGGTAAGCAATGTTTAGAGTTGTGAGGGAATGAAAGCATTAGACAAGGAAAATGTGATGAATATGAAAGGCTACAGATTTAGTCACTGTACAGTCACTATTGAGCCTGACTAGAAGTAGAAACAGAGAATAGTTGGGTCAAAGAGAAGGACAAGATTTCCCCACTTGGCCCTAGTTGTGAACAATGACATCGTTGGAGAGCTATCGTAAGATGACAAGGACAGGAAATATGAGATCTAGATGCTCAGTTGCCTGGCTATGGGAATACATTTCTAGGAAATGAGGTGGGCTGAGGAGGTAACT